ACTAGAGGAATTAAGAGAGCTAATATGGGCTTTTGGTGGATTCAATTTCTTAACGCAATTCAGGTGTTATTAAACGCTTGTTAATTTTTTCCTCTTATTAATTCTAAGTGTAAGTTTTATATGATAGACAATAGTTATTTGTACTTTTATCCATCATTAATTAAAAATATATAGAGAATTATGATATGCCTTTATACGTTGAAATTAATTAATTTTTACCAAGAATTTATATCGATATAGTACCATTACTCACCTATCAATTAATATGTATTATTACAATAAAGCAACTTTATTAAAAAAAATGTACAAAATATCTTTTGTTTAATATTTGATAATAATATTAATGAGAAAATTGTAATTATACATAATATAATATAAAGATGTACAACTATAATGGATATAATAAGACATATGACCAAAAAAAGTTATATACTTAATTTTATGCATTTTTTTTAACAAATTTGAAAGTTATATATATATATATGAAATAGCAATATAAAGTAAGAAAATATTAAATGTGATACATAATATTAAAAATATAATTAAGTTGTAATACTTACTAATACATATGCAAAAAGTAATAAATAAAAATTTTATAATTAATAAATATAAATATAAAACTTTTAAACTTGCACATATCAATTTAAATGAGCTTAATTGTTAAACGATTGTTAATTTTTTGTGCTTATTAGTTATAGGTGTAAGTTTTAGGTTATTGATAATAGTTATTTGTACTTTAATACATCTAGGTTATAGCTTTTAATTTTTTTTAAAAAATAAATTAATTATTGTAATTTTAAATAATTTTTTATTTGTTATTAGCTTTTTTAATATAATATATAAATATCATATTGCATATATAAAACAATACTTCTTTCCATTAATATGTAGGGAAAGTAATTCAATTGAAAAATTAATAGGTAATCTACGCATAAAATAACGAGTGACTTGTAAGAAAATTATATGGACTAAAAAGTAGATGTTTTAATATATTTTTAAAAGAAAAATTATAAACACAATTAATAAATAAAAAAATTACTACATAAAAATTTTAATGATTATGAAAGAATTCAAAAGTTTCATATTATAATGAAAAATCCAACAGTAAGGTATTCCGCAGAAAATACCAACAGATATTTCATTTGTATAGCTTCTATTGAAAAGATTCACGGGCTATTCCAATGGGGATTAAATTAAATTACATTGAAATTTTTGTGGATTTAATATCTCAATTACTAATATTTATTTTTGTGTGAATTTATGTTGGATTTTTTTTTCCGGCCATATTTCAAGCATTAAAAAAATTGTCACTGAAATTGGGAAAAACAATGAAAGTTCCATTAAAAAAATAGCTGCAATGGCGAATCCAAATAATTTCATGTTAAGAGCACTATTTAATTAATACAAAAAGTATAGCATCAAAATAACATAATGTCATTACAATTAATAAAGTATAATTTTCATAATTTGTCAACTTTCTCATATGTATTATTTTTTTTAACACATCAATACAATCACAATAACTTCAATAATATTTAAAAATAGGATATTTTTTCTCAATTCGACATAAAAAAATCACCAAAAAATAATACATTTTTCAAAAAAAATTTATGAACAAATATTTTATGTTGTAGTATAGTTGACTCGACAATATAATAGATGAATGTATAAATTATGAATATATAACTAGAATTCTACATACACTTAAAAGGCATAAAATATATTTTTTAAAATTAGATAAAAATTATGTCGCAAAAGAGAGATAATGAGATATCATCAAGAATAAAAAGAAAAGAGAGAAATAGAGCTTAAAATTGTAAACTTTGATAAATATCATATTTTCTTTAGTTGGAATACCGCTTTGATGTTATAACTTTAATAACGCTATGAGATGATATTAATTATAATTGGTTGAACTGTAAATTAATTCATTATTTATCTTTATTCTTTTAATTTTATTTTCTAAATAGAGGACAAAACTAAAATTATAAAAATTCTTCCCATAATGTTTGTTAGATATCTTATGCTACTTGTTTTGGGATGAGGCCTGTTTCGGGACTATTGGACAAACATGGATCTGCACATGATTGCAACAAAATATTTTTGTTAAAATTTTTCATTGTAAAATTTAAACGAGAATAGTAACGTTGAAATATTCGTTTGAACTGTTGTTGAAATTCCGCTGTAATATGTTTTCATTGGAATTTCATCATTTTCTTGTAGTAAAAGTATGACTCCAAATCAAACTAAAATATTTTTTTGCACTATATATAATATTGTGTTCAGTTAATTGTTTTGAAAATTGTTGATAGTGATACAAAATATAACGTATTTAATTTATGATAATTAGTAATTTAAAAAAAAAGATACATCTAAGTTGAAAAGTCATTAAATATTTTATTAGTATTATAATAATTAAAGAAGAGGTCAGAATGATGTTCTACTGAAAAGGTAATATTAATACTAAACAAGATGTAAGAATGATGTTGTACGTAATAAAAAGGTAAAACTACACAACAAGAAAGCTTATAACTCACATTCCACCAAAAAGTAAAAAAAATAATAAAATTAATAAATATCCTATATCAATTGGAGCTAGCGAAGGATAAATGTAAAATATATTTGAGATGCACATTTATAAAAAATATATTTATTTTTTGTCTTAGAAATCGGTATGTTAGTCATAATTTTTTAGTTAAAAAATTAGTTAATCTTTACCATTATTTTTAAATTTGAAATACTTAATTTTTTTTTGTACCCTTTTATATGTAATATATCACATCATTTCTTTCCCATGATATTTGATTTTACCAATGTTTTGGAAATAAAATAAAAATAATATAATTATTTCTATCGATATAAAATAACGTATATATATATTTATCAATAGCAATTTAAAATAATAAATAGACCTAAAATAATCTTGTAAAATAATTATAGATTCCTGTTAAATCAATATTATTAATTATAAAATGACATTAGATCAACTTGTGGTACATTTTTCTGATATAGATTTGAAAAATTTATACTAAAAAAAGTGCAACTAGATGTAAATGTACAAAAATTACCAATATTAAATATGTGAATTAAGAGAAAAAAATAAATGGGTTGTATGTTAAACTGTTATTCAAATATTGCTTGAAAGGGGACACTATAATGGTTGTAAAATGTATTTTTTGTGAATATAAACATGAATTAGTTACTTAATATTTTATTAGAACATGGAAAAAAATTCAAAACTTTTTAATCTTATAAACAATATAAAACTACATTTTCATCAAGTATATTATTAATATCAAACAAGTAAAAAAAGTACATTGCATATAAATGTTCTCTAATTATTTCAACAAATAAAATATTATTTGTGAATAAAATAAAAAAAACAAGTTAAATAATAGTAATGCAATGAGGAAAAGAAAAATTCTGAATTTTTTTAGAAAATTATGAACACTAATATCAAGAAACAAAAATCTATTTTTTTTAGAAAAGTATGAATACTAATATCAAGAAACAAAAATCTTTTAAAATTACTACTTTTTTGTTGTTATCATTTAAGTATATGTTCTCTATAAGAAATTGATTCTCATAAATAATGATTCGATATTATAATAAGATAGACCACAAACTTTAATAATGACTTCATAATAACAAAGTTAACAGATGGCTAAGAGTATCATAATATAGTATAATTCAAATTCTTCACATCTGAAATATTTTGACAAATAATATGCTTCTCATATTGTCTCATTGTTTTGTTTTGTTTTGTTTTGTTATTATTGAAGAATCAATAACGGATCTTTATCTTGATTTTTTTAAGCAATAGTTATGGTACAAAAAGTTGGACAATAAATGCATTAAATGTTATTAGACACATAAATATTGCGAATCCGAAAGAATATGGAAAGTATTTCTCTTCCAAATAAATAACACTGAAAAGAGAATGTTTGATTCTAATCATAATATTTTTGAATGTTGAATAAGTTGTCACTCTTTGATAGGAATATTTACAATCATAACTATGTATTGTGCTCGATCATACGCGCAATTATTTAGAGTATATATTTTCATATAATGTGTGATGATTTCTAAAAAAATAATTTAATACATCTTCAGATAAGTATATGAATTGGAAAATTAAATTTTAGTTAGAGATGAAATTCATTCCCACCTCATGAGGTAAGTACCAATTTGCCTATGTGGAGAGAAAGAGAGAGAGAGAGAGAGAGAGATGGGGGAGGGGGATAGAGAAATGTAGTAGTTTATACAGTGATTAAAAGAAATATCAAGAATTTTAATGACACAAATATCAAGAAATTTAATGCTACAATTGTTTATTACACAAAGATACTTATGAACTGTTAGTAGAAATACCTTATAATGATCATACAATTATGAAGTTTGACTATATGTTTGACTAACGTATTTCTAAGTGTTGAATAAAACAGACGTTTTGTCAAATTAATTAAGAAGAATTTTGCAATACTATTGATGTATTAAAATTCAACGAGTATGAATGTTTCTTATAAGAACATCGAAATCAAAATGAAAGAAAATGACTCTTGAATCTAACATAAATAAATAAAAGAACTCATGCATCTACAGTATACATTATGTCTTTATTTAGTCATTTATTGTTTTTTATTAGGAACTCATTTTTCATATATATTTGTTGGAGTTGTAATATGATATTTAAATCTTTTTATGTTACGACATCATTTTAGTATTTAAAAAAATGCATTAAAAGTTTATTTATTCTACATTTTATTTTGTTCCTGCAATCATATGTGTAATAAATTAATTAATTTATCTTACTAAATTTAATAGGTAAAAAACATTCGTCATCACGTGCATCGCACGTGCACTTTACTAGTTTATTTAAAAGGGACAAAAAAATCACCCAACAAACATATTAATAAGTTTTTCATTTCATTTTTTCTTTTTCAACGGTTCTATATAAGACCCTGCAAATGCAATTAAAGCCATTTTATTCTCTCTACAGCAGATCACAACACATACTGACTGTGCCCTGTGCCACTCGCTTTCTCTCTCTTCCTATACACACACCATTTGTCACGCGCACACCATTATACAATCGATTTCTTGTACGTATTCGCCGGCGCAAGCGCAAATCGGAAGCAATCATCCGTCACATCGCTGCCCCGAATTTGGAGGGTTCCGATTAATTTAACGGCTAAAACCTTTGGTGTCTGTGTCTTTGTCTGTGGGTGGCTTGCTGCGATTACATGGGGAGTTACGGTAATGGGGATTTGGAGCCGCAGAAGCTGACGTCACCCCTTTCGTACAAGGCTAAGAGGCGGCCTTCCGCGGCGGCCATATCCCGTACCGGCTCGGAAATGGATGACATCATCACGCTGATGCATGGGTCCGATCCCGTACGCGTCGAGCTGACTCGACTCGAGAACGAGGTTCGAGGTATGGGTCTCTCTGTGTGTGTGTGTGAGGGATAGTTGTTGAATTGTAATTGTTTCCTGCAGATTATTTTTATTTGATTTCAGTTGTTGGTGTTCTATACTTCTGTTAGCTGTGGAATTTTGCGATTCTGTTTGTTTTTCCCTCTATTTTTTTCCTCTATTTATGCAGAAAAAGAAGAAGATTTTGTGTGCAGGGGATTAATGTGTTGAGTTCTTATTATAATTTGTAAAGATCACTTTTCGTGTGTTTGTTTTGTTTTGTTTTCAACTTCTAAAATTAAGATGTCCCATGGTACCAGGCATTGAGCAATTTTAGTTCCAGGAACATGGAGATTTGGAGATGTAGAATGGGGAATATTCAGACCGATAATATGCAGATTATTGGCCTTAGAAGCAAGATTTTATTGTTTTGGAAAGATTGTAAATGTTGTTACTTATTCCGAAAGACAGGGAAAAGGAAGTAAAATAAATATTGGGCAGCACGTGGTTGTGGTCTGTGGGTTATGGTCATGGATGTGTGAGAGTGAAAGCCAATTATGGAGGCCCCACTCCATTATGCTTCATGGTCTATCTTAAAAGACATAATTTCCTATTTTTAAGGATGCTGCTCACCACATTTTTTAATGTCTCCTTGTATTAATTTCACATATCTCCAAATGCATGGTTTAACCTTTATAGTTCATCAAGATATATTGTTTCCACTCCACTTAGTTCCAGTCTTTTTAAACGAAAACATGGTGAGTCATTAATGAGTTGCGGATTTAATCAGGAAAAAATGGAAAACTATCGAACATGGTGTAACACATTCATGAAATGGATGTCGTGCTCTGAGGCTGTCGTTTCTCAAATGCCACGTGCCTTTAAACTACTGTGGCATCTTTTGAATGTGTGTGGCAGTTAATGAAATAGTAAAGTATTTGAAGTGGAAGTTGCAAATTTTACTGAATGTCACTGGATGCTCAAATAATATCATTCAAGAAAATAAGCCCAGGGGCTCACTACCTTAGAGTGCAGTCCTTTTTCGTGAAAGTCTATGCAGTTCATGGTTGGTGGGGGGTCATTGGATTGGCTAAAGCTTGCCAACTGTATCTGGCAGTTGCCCAAAAGCAATTTGCAATCCTACAGTCAATTGATGTATGAACAATTGAAGTAAATTCATTTGGGTTCGACACTTGTCTTAATTATCCAATGGTTATGTCTTGAAGCACATGAGGCCAAGCTGTCCTTTTCTTTTTATCAAAGTTAGAAGAACCTGATTTTAGCTTGAATATACTTGCTGTAAGGTAAAATAACAAGTGCAAGCGTGTTTTGGTGTTCTTACTAAATACTATTTCCAATGCGCAGAGAAGGATAGAGAACTGGGAGGGGCACATGCAGAAATAAAAGCATTGAAGTACTCAGAACGCCTGAAACAGAAGGCCGTTGAAGAGGTATGCTAATAACTCCGATGTTTTCTTGTCCTCATATTGACAAATTCTGTATTAAGACTATAAGTTACAGTGAGGGTGCTGCAAAATAATTTTCAAACTTATATTATGCTTAGAGAACTAGAATTTTCATAACTTTGTTGGGTGTGCCAACATAATTTGGGGAAATACTTATGAAGATAAACCATTGAGGTTAGCCAGTTATCTTCTGAAATTCATTTGCTAATAAATGATTATGTTACGCAACTCATTCAAAACACCATTTCTTCTTTCTGACTGATACTTTGCTATTTATTACATTATCTATGTTCTGATGGAGATGCTTGTTTATAAGCACTTAAAAATTATCTCCTTGTCAAAGAGATTATATTACTCTTAATCATTTTGATTCTGCTAGCTTACTGATGAGTTGAAGAAAGTAGACGAGAAGTTGAAAGCGACAGAATCTCAACTTGAAAGCAAGGTATGTTTCGGTTTATCTCAATTCTTTGTACTCTCACTCTCTCTGTGTGTGTGTGCATGCGGACCCCGCCCTCTGACGGTTTCTGTGTGTGTGTGTGTGTGTGTGTGTGTGCATTATCTACATTCTTGAACTTGAAAGGTTACATAAATTATGAATTCTATAATATTTTAATACTCCATCCTCACATGTGAATCTCAGAATCTTGAAATTAAGAAAATACATGAGGAGAAAAAGGCAGCCTTGGCTGCACAATTTGCTGCTGAGGCCACACTTAGAAGGGTGCATAGTGCCCAGAAAGATGACGAGATGCCCCCAATCGAGGCCATCATCACGCCTCTGGAGGCCGAGCTGAAACTAACGCGGACTGAGGTATGGAAACAATTTTATCACTTTAAAATTTTCATCAATTATTATTTTGAATTGATATAGATGTTATCTGATCGTACATGGATGTTGTTCTTCATTAGGTGGCAAAGCTACAGGAGGATAATAAAGCACTCGATCGGCTCACTAAATCGAAAGAGGCCGCTCTCTTGGAAGCCGAACGCACGGTTCAGATGGCTCTAGCAAAAGCATCAATGATTGATGATTTGCAGAACAAAAACCAAGAGCTGGGAAAACAGATCGAGATATGCCAGGTTTGGTCTTTTCAAAAAGTTTGTGCCTATCTGATAATGTGAATCAGGTTCATGTGGAGAATTCTGATAAAATTTTCGGTATCATGTCAGGAGGAGAATAAAATATTGGACAAAATGCATAGACAAAAGGTTTCGGAAGTTGAGAAGCTAGCGCAAACAGTTAGGGAGCTCGAGGAGGCTGTTTTGGCTGGAGGTGCTGCAGCAAACGCTGTTCGTGAATACCAAAGAAAAGTTCAAGAAATAAATGTAAGCGCCTTAAATTCGAGACTTCGTTTATTATTTCAACAGAAGTTCTGTGCAACACATTATAGAGTTGACAATCGTGTTTCTTGAGAAGTTGCTAATTTCTGAAGTGTGAGCAGGAAGAGAAAAGAATTCTAGACCGTGAGTTGGCTCGTGCTAAGATATCGGCAAATCGTGTGGCTGTCGTCGTGGCAAATGATTGGAAAGATGCCAGCGACAAAGTTATGCCAGTAAAGCAGTGGCTTGAGGAAAGGAAATTCTATCAGGTTCTCGCAATGAATTTGATTGTGAAATTTCCAGAAAAGTTATATGGTCAATTAATGTGGTGATGTTAGGAGTAAAGAATTGCGAAAGGAGTTTTTATTGAAGAAATTATAATAAGGATAAACAAGAAGTTCTAAACTTCTCCAACATGAATTAAATCTCTATGCAACAAGAATAACTTGCCCAATAGCCAATACTATTACAAAGTAAATCTCTTCGTACTCATCATATTGACAACCTCTCTTATATACTAAATTATATCGAATCTACAATGGTAATAAAAAATTTAAGAGGTAAAAATTAATAGCATTTGAGAATAATTAGTCAAAATCCCTAAGATTTAGCACTAATTAAGATCTCAAAAATCAGCATAATTTATTCTAAATTTGATATCCTTTCATTCTTTCATCTCTATTAGGTGATGCCAAACACGTAAAAAAAATCATANAAAAAAAATCTGTCACGAAGGAGCTGATTTGTAAATAAATAACGAAGGAGCTTTTTTTTCCTCTAGCTTTTATAATTACATAATTAATTTTGGAGTAAGGTTATATATTTGACAATATATTTCAAATGTTCCAGAAATAAAAAAAGGGAGAAATTTATCTAGTATTGAGCGAGGGAGTATCTTATTCATAATGTAATGTTCTTGTATCACAATTTATGTAACAGGGAGAAATGCAACAACTGAAGGATAAGCTGGCAATTGCAGAGCGTGCAGCCAAGGCGGAAGCACAAATGAAGGTGACAATGCTCATGATTTGTAGTCTTTTCTGCTGCCAGTCATTTATTAAAAAGCAGATGCTAAAACACTCGTCATTTCACTAATAGGAAAAATTCCAATTACGCTTTAAAGTTTTGGAGGAAAGGGTCAAAGGGTATCCCAATGGCACTAACCGTGCTTCGTCACAAGGAAGAAGCATGAGTAACGGGAGATCACGTAGACAGTCACAAGGAGGATCGGGAAATTTCTCCACACCACCTTCAAATGGATTTCTGTCCATGAAAACGATAATTTCAGGGTCACCCCGGATAAGTAGTCCAAATCACGTGAAAAAATTTCCGACCTCATTCAACGGTGATAGGGCACTGACTAATGGCGAAAAGGTAGCTCCAGAGAGAGAAAATAATGATAGGGAGCCTTCTCATGGGAAGGAGAGCCAAAATGGTAATGGAGTAACTAAGCCATTTGCAAATGGGAACGGGTGTGTTTTGACTGATAAGTTGAAAACTGAAAATGAAGACTGTGTTTCGGGCTTGTTGTACGACATGCTGCAGAAAGATGTCATATTACTGCGTAAAGCATGCCATGAGAAAGATCAAAGCTTGAAGGACAAAGATGACGCTATTGAGGTTCGGTGATTAGTTCTTATTTATGATTAATTATTAGAGGGGCTATATGTGAGGTTTGGGGTAATTTGATAAAAACATAAACTTGGATGTTTTTAATTATGAATTATCCAACCGTACCTCCCCAAGAAAAAAAAAACTAAAATAACTTTTCTGAATTATATTTTTAATTCACCAAACCAGGGGTAGTTCTGTAACCATCCCAATCTTCTATTATTCTCTCACCACTAGTGACATTTTGGCATGAAAATCACTCAGATGTTGTCGAAAAAGGTTGATATGTTGAGTAAAGCAATGGAAGTTGAGGCCAAGAAGATGCGGCGAGAAGTAGCCAACATGGAGAAAGAACTTAGTGCCGCGCGCAATGGTAAAGAGCAAGACCAAAGAACCCGTCGTTCTAGTGCTTCTAGAGGGGCTGTTATAAGGTAAATCCTTAACCGAAATGCTACATAATGTACAGGTTTCTGTAAACTGGTGCTCGTTTTGGATAATCAATTAGGCCCATGTATAGACTTTCCAGTGTATGTGAAATAGAGAAAATTTACTTGTTTAGGTGTTGAAGTGGGTGACGAATTGATTTCTATACTTCTTCTTCTTCTTCTTCTTTTTTTTTTTTCTTTTCTTTTTCCCGTTATTTATAAATGATGCGTTGAGCGAACATGCTAACAGGTGTGACTCGACTCTGATCACTTATAAACTTGGTTTTCCATATTTGTATCTAAAGTATTTCTTTTGCTCGATTTTCAGGAATGGGAAGTACCCTTGAGTTGTGACTGGGATACGAGTAATGTGACATGAAAACGTCAAAGATGGTTTTACAGGCGTGCATATTTTTTGGAAGAATAGAGTATTGTAACTTGTAAAGAACTATATAGATCACACATTTGGTATCCATCTTGTTGTATATCTGTAAGCACTGTAAAGTGATTATGATTTATATAATGGTAATTGGAACTTGACCTACTCGAGCAAGGTATTTGGGAGTTGGGATCCTATAGATTTTTTGTTATGTTACTGACTGTGATTGTTTTATAATGCATCATGTGGAGCATGTGTTAAAATATGGATTTTGTTACGCCAAATTTTTTTCTTTTTTTGAATGCATTTTAGTATCTATAGTTAAATGTGTACCTTATCTTAACTACTAAAAAGTTCGTCCTTGCTTTCTGCGTTTTATTTAGATGATGCCTATAACTCTACACAAATGAGGGACTAAGGTCATCTTAAAATTATGTTTGATGTGTGTATCCAGTTTCTATACACTATGGTGTGATTCCTTTCAAGCTTAAGATGTATGTAAGAGTTTTTAGTTATCAAATTCAAATGTGTTGTGGAGATTGATGGTTGCTTTCATATGATACAACCAAACAATTTATTTTACTGTTGTGTGTTGCTACTAGATACATTCTCAAGTCATTTTTGGGACTAACTTTATGGTTACTTTAGCCATATGGACGCTGATGTGTTGGATGGTCGTTATTATCTTCAAACTTGGAGTTAGAAATAATACAAAACATGTTTATTCAGTACTTTGCTTAATCTTGATAAATTCAGCCAAGTGGTAGATAGTGTTTTTAATTTATAACCAATAAAACAATAGATATAGAAAACAACACTACATCAAGAATTTTTATGTAAGCTGAAATGACCAAACTCATAATGAATTAAGCCTTGGTTTGCAAGTTCAAGAATCACATGATAAATCAAGACTTAGTTCGGAATTTCAAGGGAAGTACGCTTCAACAATTCATGTGGCCCAATTAGTGCATTATATAGTCGGAGTAACAAAATCCACAAGCATCTAAAAATAATATACAACACTGTTGATTTCATATAATATCAACAAATTAACTTCCAACTTCATGATAGTGACAGCACTGTTGATTTCATATAATATCTACAAATTAATCAATATAATATCTACAAATTAACTTTCAACTTCATGATAATGTGCGTAGTTTCTAAACAAACTTATAATTATTGGTAATCCTATGCAGAAGAAGATTATTGAAACTCCCATCGCGAAACACCCGATAGCCACCCAAGGGATAAGTCTTTCTCCTGTTACACAAAGCATTACAGGCAAGTTAATTGTCAGAATGATCTTAGTAAATCCTAAAAACTTGGTGAAAAGGATAAATGTGGAAAAATTCTTTTATGAACAGGCACCTCCATATCAACTACATAATTAACTTCTCTCACACCATTTTTAAACCCTTCAAGAAAGAGAAAAGAAATAGAGAATCGGAACATCAAAAGGAGAACAAAGCTAGAATTTGTGCATTATGTGACGTTTGAACAGTTGAACCTGAATGCTAGGAAACATAGCTTATCCCTTACTTGGATAAGCGCAAGGTGTTTTAAAATCAGACGTTTTTGCTTCAAGTTGAATCAAATCATATATACAAATTATAAGTAAAATATGCATAAAAAAGAGGAAAAATAGGGGAAAAAAAAAACATAAAAATGAGAAGTATGCTTTACCAGTTATCACTTTCCAATCGAATAACCAGATCTTCAACAAGGGGCAGACGGTGAATCTTCGGTATAATCGACTTAATAGCATGTGCAGCCGACTGGAAATCCATTTTCATGTTCTCTACGTTCGGTTCAAAAGCCTCTATCCCAACAAACCTTAGCTTTTCCTTTTTTTTCCCCTCTTTGAAAACTGCAAGTTTAGTAATATTCCCCGGAAAGATCTATTCATGCTATGCAATTTATCAATTAATTGAATTATGTCCAGGAAATAGTTCCTCTAAGACCTTCGCAAATAGAAATATGGCTCTGACTGGTCCAAAGGTGAAAAGACTTTAACCAAGGTCTTTCGATAAGATGATAACAAGCAGACATATCTACTGGCATGCACGCTACGCAAAATATCAATGGCTTGCTCACATGGAATGATGTAAGAACCACAATTTCAAACGACAACGACATATAAAAATAAACAATAAGACTCTTTCAAATGCTCAAAATATATCTGAAAGTGACAACAATGATAAGCGGAGAGAGGAAGGGGGTGAATACCAAGATTTGTTCTTTTTGGGCTCCTTGAAGAGCTCGAGTACAAAATGATTAAAATGGCTGGATGCCCTGTAAAATGTAACATGATCAACTTCTTTCAGATTATGGGATTTCACAAAATCTTTCCATTCCTTGTTTAGAGTTAGGACAGCGTTGGGCCATCTGGCTCCACCATGCCTTGACAAATTCATCGTGTAATATCTTTTTTTGTCATCAATCATGACGAGGTCTTGTGAAAAAGGCCCAAGAGGGCACACAGAAGCCTTGCGTCACCAGTGAGAAGGTAAGCATCATCAACTGACAATAAAAGCTTGGGATTGGGTTCATTGGTTTTCGGTAATAATAGGAAAACTGAAAGAACATCTGGATCCAACAAAATAAATTCTTATTAAAGAACTAATCAATAATGAAGTGTACACTCAGAGAAACACATACAAAATTGATTACTTAATTTATTTATCACGAATCGGAATAAATTAAGTAATCCATTTTGTATGTGTTTCTATGAATGTACATTTCATTATTGATTAGTTCTTTAATATGAATTTATTTTGTTGAATCCGGATGCTATCTTTCAGTTATCCTATAATCACCGGAAACCAATGAACCCAATCTCAAGCTTTTATTGTCACCTGATGATGCTTACCTTCTCCTTACCTTCTCACTTCTGTTGCGCCTAATGGGTCTTTTTCACAAGACCTCGTCATGATTTATGACAGAAAAAGATATTACACGATGAATTTGTCGAGTCATGGTGGAGCTAGAGGGCCCCACGTTGTCCTAACACTAAAGGAATGAAAAGATTTTGTGAAATCTCATAATCTGAAAGAAATTGATCATGATCATGTTACATTTTCCAGGGCATCCAGCCCTTCTAATCATTTTGTACTCGAGCTCTTCAAGGAGCCCAAAAAAAAACAAATCTTGGTATTCACCCCCTTCCTCTTTCCGCTTATCATTGTTGTCACTTTTAGATGTATTTTGAGCATTTGAAAGAGTCTTATTGTTTATTTTTATAAGAAAATGCTACAAGTACATAATAAATATACGTAGAGGTATACATAACACTCACATGGAACTCACATGGAGTGGGGTCCACTTGATTTTTTATTTCTGGTAGGTCCTACTCAATGTGAGTGTTATGTACACACTTATGTACAATATTATGTACATATAACATTTCTCATTTTTATATGTTGTTGTCGTTTGCAGTTGTGGTTCTTACCTATTCAATGTGAGCAAGCCAGTGATACTGTGCGCAGCGTGCATGCCTGTACATATGTCTACTTGTTGTCGTCTTATCGAAAGACTTTAGTTAAAGTCTTTTCACCTTGAGCTATATTTCTATTTGCGAAGGTTTTACAGGACTCCTGGACATAATTCAATTAATTATTAAATTGCATAGCATGAATAGATCTTTTCGGGGAACTAAACTTGCAATTTTCAAATAGGGGAAAAACACAATTATCGAAAATGACAACCGACAAAAAAAAAAATGCTACTTTTTCATTGAAAGAAAAAAAAGAAGAGTTTAGATACCTTCAAACTTTCTTGCATCATAACATAAAGTAGACCAGGAGTCTCCTTGTGTATTACTTGTTTCGTAGCTTCTGGGGTTACGTCTCTCGGAGTGAATCCAGTACCACCTACCACATCATTTTACATTACTAAGGGAAAATGAACAATTAAAAGTCGGAACAAACAATAAAACCCCAAAAAGAACTCCAGTACCACCTACCACATCATTTTACATTACTAAGGGAAAATGAACAATTAAAAGTCGGAACAAACAATAAAACCCCAAAAAGAAAAATTCATTCGAATTTTTCTCATAGGAGGATTGAGATAAAATGAACTAAGAAAGACATGTAAATCAAACAACTCCATTTCCATCGAGTCCTCACTGATCATATGATTCCTCAATTCACATTCAATCACAAGGATATACCGCCTCAAGGCCTCTAAATAACAAGTTTTACTCTATCAAAAAAAGAAAGAAGAAGAAGTTTTATACGCACCAAGAGTAAGAATGAGATCCATTTTATCAAAATCGCTCCATTTTCCAACAATTCCTTGATTTTTGGGATTTCATCTGGTACAACAACAGCACTAGCAACACCCTTGGCACCACCAAGTTTTTCAGATGATGAATTCACAACAGATACTGCCCGCGGACCACTAGAAAAATAAAAAATTATCTTTATCAAGCAATGGAAACAAAAAGAATATACTGATAAACAAGATAATGCAGATGGTTTAGATGGATTAGCAAAGAATTTGATGCTGCAGAAAATAAATAAAACATCATCATCATTAAAATTTGTGGCAAAATCTTCGGTGTATCCATCCATGATTCTCTTTCACATGGACTTAATATCAAGTTGGCGATTGTTCTAGCATCAGCAAAGTGACCTTTCGGGAATGAGGACTCCATTTCCATCGAATCCTCACTGATCATATGATTCCTCAATTCACATTCAATCACAAGGATATACCGCCTCAAAGCCTCTAAATAACAAGTTTTACTCTATCAAAAAAATCAAAAAAAGAAAGAAGAAGAAAGTTTTATACGCACCAAGAGTAAGAATGAGATCCATTTTATCAAAATCGCTCCATTTTTCCAACAATTCCTTGATTTTTGGGATTTCATCTGGTACAACAGCACTAGCAACAACCTTGGCACCACCCAGTTTTTCAGATGATGAATTCACAACAGATACTGCCCGCGGACCACTAGAAAAATAAAAAATTATCTTTATCAAGCAATGGAAACAAAAAGAATATACAATAAACAAGATAATGCAGATGGTTTAGATGGATCAACAAAGAATTTGATGCTGCAGAAAATAAATAAAACATCATCATCATTAAAATTTGTGGCAAAATCTTCGGTATATCCATCCATGATTCTCTTTCACATGGACTTAATACCAAGTTGGCGATTGTTCTAGCATCAGCAAAGTGACCTTTCGGGAATGATGATCCAGAAAGATGTATCATGATGCAAAAATATGCAGTGCATCTTATTCTGGTTTCAACTTAATAACCAAATGCAATGTAACCCCTTTCACATTTCTTAAAATGAATAATTTGCACTTAAACCACAGAAATCTCTCGTCACCACTCTTATTCACGGGTTATATGTATCTGGAATCCCACCAATTTTTCTCCAATTATTACCCGCGAAATTGTCTTATATTTGTTCATGATATTTGAGAAACACGAGTATAAGAAAATCTGATAAGATAAATACTTGATATTTTTAGAGAAATAAAGGTAGAATATAATCTCATTTATGTGGAACCGAACCAGAAAGCGGAAAAACGTCAATCATTACCTTTTGAAAATAAAATCTCTCTCTCTTTTGAAGTAAAGGCTTCACAAAATCCCGGTCTCCCATCGAGACTCCTCCTGAAGTTAATAGGATATCAATTTCACTAGAAAATGCTATTTCCAAAAATCCTCTCAAGCTCTTCTTCATTATCACGGGCTATGCCAAGATCGAGAATTTCACATTGTGGTTGCTGAGCAGCAGCAAGAATCATGGCACGATTGGAATCTTTAATCTCCCAATTCCTTTGACAAAAAAATAAAATAAAATAAAATAGAATAAAATAAAATAAAATTTACACAAAATCTCCCAATTCCTTTGACAAATGAAACTCCCAATCAACACAAAAAAACCCACAATAAGTGCACCAAACAGGTAACGCACAAACACAAAAAATAACGCGTACAAAACAGAGGAGGTGAGAAAGAAAGAATACCTTGATAGATGAAGGTATGGCGGGTGCGGGTCGGGTGCAGCGACATCTTGAGCCAATATTCTGCCCAACGCCGCATGGAGGAGAACCTTCACAGGCGGCAGCCTCTGTGCGACCCTCAGCACCGTCTCGAGCGAGTGTTCTACAGACACCATCTCGCTTGCTTCCACCATTAGTGTGCTTCAAAGCTAAAGCCTTTGGCCCTTTGCTTTCCACCGGGGACCAGTTGGTAGTTCTATTGTGTGTGTAGTCGGCCATATTTTTTTAAATAGAAACACATAATTCCAATCGGACACCAACCGGTAACAGCCGGAATAAGCAGCACAGCTGAAATCAAATCCTTGAGAGGACAACCCACAAGGCAGCCTAATCGAACGCTACTCACAAGCTCCCACCAGGAGAATACAACTCCCAACAAGAGAATAAACACGACACGACACGACAACTCAGGCCCTGCAGCATCACCGAACACGTAACAAGAAACTCCAGACCGAAGCCGGCTAACCAGTACCCGCTCGAAAACTACAGACCCTTCCAACAGCACAAACAACTACACTAACTAAGACGGAAACTAATAAAAAGGCCCCAACATGGAAATACCCGAGTGTTCGGTCCCAACAGGATAATCAGTTGACACTCGGGCGCACAGAGGCCAACGACCCAAACCAAAAACACAATACCTAAACACCACAACCACAAAACACAGAACCACATGACAACAAAGAACCTAATCAATCACCAAACCAAACTAGGAAACCAAAAATAACTACAACGAGAAACGAGCCCTTCCGCAGCAAATATACCGAACGAACAGTCGGCTCTTAGGAAATAGCCGCAGCCCGAGAAACCGCCGAAACTGCCAAAAGGCCTATCGGAATCAGAAACCCACGCCCCGGACCAACCTGTGAGCAAACCCTCCCCTTCACACAAAGCCAGAGAAACCCAAACTCAACCCACGACACCGCTGCCCCGAACCGGCTAACACCGCTAGCCAAAACCGGAAGCACCAGTCTCCCCCGAACCCAACACCAGAGACACAGAGGAAAGGGGATTGGAAGGGTACCTCTGCCTGCACGAAACACGAAGTACCAGCAGCCACCCGGCCATCCACATTAGAGAAGAACTCAGTCCCAGAAGAAGCTCCCGAAACTGCCGGCGAAGGCCTAGCGGAAACCGCGCCCGAGAACTTCAACCCACTCCAACAGGACGACCCGCCCCGCGACCGGAGGAGTAGCAGACTTCCCCACTCCCATCACCGACACCAGCTCGGGCTCGACCAACACCACTAGCCTAATCCGACCGCGCCGGTGACCCCCTGAACCCAACCCCAGGAAAAACAGAGGGAAAAAGGGCGAGGAAGACGCCACTCCTCAACCCCGGCTACCCCGACATCAACATCGACAGCAGCCCGAGCCACGCCCATCCCCAACAATACACCCTACCCAGCGCTCCCACAACATCAAGGAAGCCGACGGAATGGAAACGGAGACGTTACCTGAAAACGGCAGAGCCTTCGCCACCTCCGTCTTCATCTCCCCAAAGCATCGCAGGCTAGGATAGGCACAAAAATTGGGACCAGGACATCAGCCTAGGGCCGACCACCGGCGAGGAGTCCGGCAACCCGCTGAGGAAGGCAGCAACTTTGTCCGAGGAAGAAGGATTCGAGCGGCGAAATTTGGGGGTTAGGTTTCGGCAGAGCATTTGGTATTATTTATTTATTTATTTCACGGGATTTTTGTTTTATTTATTTATTTATTTATTTGCCTTAAATAGAAATTAGAAAATGGAAAAAGTTATTTTAGGAAAATAAATTTTTTAAAACAATTTAGTCTTATCCAAAAATAAATATGAAAAAAAAATATTGTTCAAAAAAATTAACAAAACAATTTTGACATTATAAATATAAGATAAAGATGTAATAATTAAAATTGATATGATATATAAATAATAAAATATAAACAATTTATGACTTCACATAGGAGTATCAAGACACTTGGCGTATTACAACCCAAATTTTGTACCAAATTTCTAGTATACCTAGTTTGGTGAAAGAAAATCTACAATCTTAGAAAACTATGTTAGCTCACCAATTATACTCATCTCAAACTCCTTGGAAATGTGTTCTATGAACTCATTGACACGATATTTCGAGGTGGAACCAAAGATAATATCATCAACATAAATTTTGTATAATGATAATACCCTCGTTGAATTTTTGCACAAAGATAATTTGATCAACTTCCCCTACTATAGCTCTTTTTATCCAAAAATTATGTCAACTGCTCATACCATGTCCTAGGAGCTTGTTTGAGCTCATACAAAGCCTTTTTAAGACTATAAAATGATAAGGGAAAGGAGGATCCATAAAGCTTTCAGACTGTTTAACATATGCAACTTCTTTCAGAAAATCATTCAAAATTGTAGATTTCACATCCTTTTTAGATACACAATAAATCTCATCAAACACGCAATGGATAAGAACATCCTAACAAATTCTAATCTACCAACAGGTACAAATTTTTCATCATATATAGTCAACATCCTTTTCTTGTGTATACTCTTGTGCTACTAAACATGCTTTGTTCTTGGTCATTTCCCCAGATTCATCAGTTTTATTCTTAAAAATCCACTTATTTCCCGCACATCATTTCTTACAAATTGTTCTAACTTCTCATGCATAGCTTGAATCCAGAAGTCATCGGTTATAGCCTCTTTTGCATTTTTAGGTTCTATTTTTCAAACATAGCATGTGAAGTGACACAACCCAGCCATCTTTCGAAAGTCGGACTTTACACCCCTCGTGTTACTTTCAACAATTTCATCAATTATTAGATCCTTAGGATGATCCTTTAGAACTTTGTCAAGTGGATCTCGCCTCAATTCAATCAGATTTTCTTTTGATGTTGGAACAAATATTCTAAAAGTTTATGTCTCAACTTAAATAAAGAATACATAGAGAATGAACATTATAAATGGAATAATAAAAAATATATAATTAATATATTATATTACCAAAGCTAGCGCTCGTTGCCGGAACTTAATCCATCTACAGGGTTTAGCATAACAATCCTTCATAAACTCACTTCAGGGACATCATCAAACTAGCGCACATGGTGACCGTAAATATTCTAACAGCACATCATACATACAACAATATTACCCAAGACAATAGGAATATTAATTCAGCCAACTGAACCTCACCCATGCGAATCAAAGTAATATGTACTGCATATATATGTCTGTTTAATATCTTATGGGTTAAGAGAACGCAGTAATTAACCTAGGCCTAGTTCGTTTACGACAATTTGTATAAAACGAACTTCCCCTCTCTGGGATCGTGTTCAATACATAAATATACTAGTGCAACTAATCAGTCAAGACCAACTGTACTGTTGACACTACAACCGTTCGGATGGAGTGTTCATTTCCATCTAGGTTGTGAACCATAATTCTTGTTTCACAAGTAACTTATAGAATGATCTTATGTTCGTCCGATAACGACCTACTCTATCTAAGTGCAAAACAACAGAACACAGAACTTGTTTAATCAAACATGATTCTCATTCATAAAGGGCAAAAGTGTAATATCATCCAAAGCCAAGCTTTCAATATATAACACTAACAGTTTTTCTGTCCTTCTCAGACTTTTTGATTTCTTAGGTTTTCTTTGGTTTATCTGTAGATGTTTAGTACCTTGCTAGGCTTTGTAGCAGTGGTCGGGTGCTAAATTAATTTATGTTATTTTCTGTTTCTTTGTTGAGGCTCTAGGCCATTATATATGTGCCCCTCAGTTTGCTCTTTCTGAAGTTGGTGTATCCTATTGTACTCTAAACATGATTCTCGTTTGAGTTTTAGCAATACAATCCTTTATCGTTTCGAGAAAAAAAAAACTAAAATATGTATTGTGTATTATCTAAATATGCACAACTAAAATAAATGTGCATTAATTGTATAATAAAAAAATCCAAGAGCCATAGTGTAGTTATTCATATTTTAAATAAATTATAGATTGACCCCCATAGATCAAATTGCAACAACTCATAATTTACTGAAATTGCAAAAAAAGTCCCTAAGGATCAAACTGCAATTAGTAATCAGTTTATGAAATTGCAAATTATTCCCTATTAGTTGTCTAATTTTGAGTTGGAGCCCCCTTGCCCCTAATAAGAATCTCGAGCTCGACGCCCGATAAGCTTCCGGCAGCCGCGGCTCAGCTCCCTCCTCACCGTCGTCTTCTCCTCCATCCCCTTGTCGGAGATGCTGCTAGTGGCACTATAGGATATTGAAACTCCTGCCGCATCATTATATAAATATGCATGATGAATGAATTAAATATGCATCATTATATATTTAATTTTAAGTATAATAAATATGTACTATGAGTGAACTAAATATAAATTTCGTATTAACTAAATATGCATCATTGTATATTTAATTTAAATATAACAAATATGCATTTCGTATTAACTAAATATGCATCATCCATGAACTAAATATACATCACGAATGAACTAAATATGCATCATTATATATTTAACTTAAATATAAAAAAAATATGAATTTTCGTAATAACTAAATATGCATCATCAATGAACTAAATTTGCATCACAAATGAACTAAATATGCATTATTATATATTTAATTTAAATATAATAAATATGTGTTATGGATGAAGTAAATATGCATTTCGTATTAACTAAATCTGCATCATTATATATTTAATTTAAATATAGTAAAATATGCATTTAGTATTAATTAAATATGCATCATATATATTTAATTTGAATATAACAACTATGCACTATGGATGAATTGAATATTCATTTTGTATAGATTAAATATACATCATGATTTAACCAAATATGCATCATATATATATATATATATATATAAATTTAAATTATAAATACGCATTTTGTATTAATTAAATATGCATTTCGTATGAATTAAATATGCATATGTATATATTTAACTCAAATTTAATAAATATGCATCATGTATATTTTTAATTTAAACATAACAAACCAAGTTTGCAATATTTATAACTAAAATATGCATTGTGTATTATCTAAATATGCGTAACAAAAGGGATTGGATCCAATGAGTACACTTATTTAAAGTGTGCACATGAGACTCAACCATACTCATTGATTTTGTGTTGATCAATGACACATATTAATCATATAAAAAAATACATTAATTAAATCATAATAAATTAATATTATTTTATTTAAATTTAAATTTATATTATATTAAAATTAATTATATCATAAATAAATTAAATATAAAATAAATATTCCGGCAGCCGGTCACCGGCGACCTCATTTTTCCGGCGACACAATTTTCTGGCGACCCCATTTTTTCGAAAACCCGCCGACGGCATCCAGTCCGGCTACCCTCATCCTGTTTTTCCAGCAACCCTTTTTGCCGGCGACCCCATTTTTTCGGCTCCTCACTACGGTCAGCCCGCAATTCGAGCTTCCACGGCTGTTCAAGGACGGCCCAACGATTCCAGCCTGGCGCCTCAGTCCGGCGACTCCGGTTTTTCCAGCGGAAAGCTTAAGCTCCGACCATTTTCCGACAGTCATGGCCAACTTCATCTTCTCTAGTTTTCACGACAGCAAGAAGCTTCTGAAGCTTTTTCGATATCCCAGAAAACTTCAGGTGGTCGGAAGTAGCGTCCAGGACGTCTGCCATGGCGGGCAGCTTGAGCTTCGAATTTCCGGCGGTCATGGCCAACTTTGTCTTTTCCGGTTTTCACGGTGGCAAGACGTTCCTGACAATTTTTTTATGTCCCAGGACTCTCTAGATGGTTGGACTTGGCTTCGAGGAGGCCGGCTGTGGCAGACGTACGCGGAGCTCCGGCCATTTTTTGGCGGTCATGGCGGCCAGCTCGACGGTTGGCGACTTCTTGGTGATCATGACGACGGCCGGACGATTTTCTGATATTCAGGACGTCGGAGAGGTGGCCTATTGTGGAGCACCGGTCAAGCAAAGCTCATGGATGAAGATGACGGGGAGGTCTGCTAGCGTTGGTGTTGATGGAAGAAGATGACATTTTCCATAAAATGACAATTTCACCCCTAAAGTGATTTAATGCTTTGGCTATTTGTGTGGGCTTTGATGGGCTGGCACAATAGTCCTATTGAATTTCTTTTTGCTCCTCAATTAATATATTATCAATATTTTAAGTGCACATTTAATTCAAATAAATGCACATTTAGTTCATATGTCGTGCATATTTAATTTAACAAATATGCATAAATTAACTAAATACGCATCATTATACATTTAATTTAATATAACAAATATGCACTGTGGATGAACTAAATATGCATTTCGTATGAACTAAATATGCATCATGAATGAATTAAATATGCATCATTATATTTCATTCAAATATAACAAATAGACATTATAAATGAATAAAATATCATCATTATATATTTAATTTAAATATAACAAATATGCACTATTAAGCATTTTGTAATAACTAAATATGCGCATCATTATATATTTAATTTAAACATAACAACTATGCATGCCGTATTAACTATATATGCATCATCTGTGAACTACATATGCATCATTAATTAATTAAATATGCATCATGAATAAACTAAATATTCATCATGTATATATTTAATTTTAAATATAACAAATATGCACAATGGATGAACTAAATATGCATGTTGTATGAACTAAATATCCATCATGAACGAACTAAATATGCATTATGAATGAACTAAATATACATCACTTATATATTTAATTTAAATAACAAACATACATTTCGTACTAACTAAATATGCATAATCAATGAACAAAATATGCATCATGAATGAACTAAATATGCATCGTTATATATTTAATTAAATATAATAAATATGCATTTCGTATTAACTAAATATGCATCATTAGTTAACTAAATATGCATCGTGAATGAACTAAATATGAATCATGTATATATATATATTTAATTTAAATATAACAAATATACATTTTGTATGAACTAAGTATGCATCATATATTAATAAATATGCATCATTATATATTAAATTTAAATATAATAAATATGCACTATGGATGAACTAAATATGCATTTCGTATTAACTAAATATACAACATCAATAAACTAAATATGCATCATGAATAAACTAAATATGCACATGTAAATATTTAATTTAATTATAATAAATATGCACTTTGGATAAACTAAATATGTATTACATCTTAACTAAATATGCATCATCTATTAACTAACTAAGCATGATTATATATTTAATTTAAATATAAAAATATGCTCTATGGATGGACTACATGTGCGTTTCGTATGAACAAAATAAGCAGCATTAATGAACTAAATATGCACTATGAATAAACTAAATATACACATCTAAATATTCGATTTAAATATAATAAATATGCACTATGAATTAACTAAATATGCATTTCGTATTAACTAAATATGCATTATTATATATTTAATGTAAATATAATAAATATACACTATAAATGAAATAAATATGCATTTCGAATGGACTAAATATGCATATTTTGATATTTATAGTAGCAACAAAAATATTTTATTTGTTACACTATTTTGTTAAACCATTATTATTAATTAGCAGTAAAACATTATAAAAGAATGCAACGTGTCCAGTTACGTGCAAAGCACGAAAGGTCCCCACGCTACCCTATTAAGTAAATTCTTTATTTTAAGTAAATTTATTCATTATTTTATTTATTGTCTTGTTTTGTTCCCTACAAAGTCCCACCCACTCTTTTCTCGTAGCAGGCTTTTTATTAAATCATCCACCCCTTTTTATTAAATCATCCACCCACCCATTCATTATTAAATCGAGCTCATTTTACACGCTTTTCGATATTTTTCTCAATTAATTTCTAGTATATTTTTTCTACCATGGCTATGGCTGCTCATGTTTGTGGAGCTTTTGTATTAATACTGGCTGTGTTGTTTATTACAAGCAGCAAAATATATGCAGATCCAGACATGCTTCAAGATATTATCATTTTCGCACTGATCGGATTTTCGCCCGGATCGGATTTTCACTCAGATCTGATTTTCGCACGGTCGCGAACAGAATGTCTGTGGCCGACGAACTTCACCTGCTCAGCCTCATCCCTGGCAGCGCGCGACTCCGGCTTTGGATGAATTGGAGGACGCCTGGAGGCCGATGGCGATCATGGCTGGGGTCGACGGCAGCTATGGCGGGTGGCTCTGCGACGGGCTGACCGACGGCTGGAGGTCCGGGCTGGGAGGTTGACTGAGGCTTCACTGAATTCGTCGGGCTGAAGGTCGCCGGAAAGCGGGGTCGTCGGAAAACTGGGTCGCCGGAATTCTATTCGCCTCTGACCGGCGGTCAACTCCGGTCAATGGCCGGCAACCGGCAGTCAACGTCGATCAATGGCTGGCCGGCCGACGGTCAACGTCGGTCCACATAATTATATTTTTTATTTATATATTTAATTTAAGTATAATAATTAATATTTTTATTAAATGAATGGCTAAGATTGAGTCTTACGTACTCATTTTAAGGAGTGATCTCATTGGATCCACCCCCTATATATATATATATATATATATATATATATATATATATATATATATAGGGGACGGATCAAATGCGGTCAGCTCTTAAAATGCACCCAGCTTTTAAAATGCGGACAACTCTTAGCAATTACAGACAACTAATCTAGCAATTACAGAGAACTAACCTATCTACTACTAACCTAGCAACTACTAACTTAGCAACTACAGATAACTAACTTAACAACTACAGAGAACTAACCTAACAACTAGTAACCTAGCAACTACAGAGAACTAACCTAGCAACTACAGAGAACTAACCTAGCAACTACAGAGAACTAACTTAGCAACTACTAACCTAGTAACAACAAAGAACTAACCTACCAACTACAGACAACTAACCTAGCAACTACATAGAACTAGCCTAACAACTACATAGAACTAACCTAGCAACTACAGAGAACTAACTTAGTTCGAAGGTTAGTTGTCAACGGTCAACGCTAGAGTCAATGGGTCAAAATAATATTTAAATAATTAAAATAATAAAAAGAAAAGAGTAAATCTTGTGGCTAAAAATGAGTCTTACGTCCTCACTTTAAGTAAGTGGATGCATTGGAATCAATCTATATATATATATATAATTGCTGACAAGCTTCAATAAACTTTATTCAGCCAAAAAATAGGTGTTTATTTAATAAAAATATGTTCACCATTTAATAAAAATATGTAACTTTCAGTTACACGATTTATTTTGACATGTTCCATTTTAGATGGTGCTAATTTTATGTAACGCCTTTTTAGGTCCCGAAATGCAAAATATTTTTTGTTTTTATTTTGATACTATATATATAATGCCCCGTTATTTTAAAGAGAAAAATATCGAATACTTTCTAAAAAACAAAGTTTATTTTTCGCAAATCATTTTAAAAATTTAATCAACTGGCATTACTCAACTTATCTCAATTCAATCCAGACGATTCAACATAATCCAATGATAATCTCAAAACATTACCAATATTATAAATTCGGTTCATAATCCAAACATGCATAATAATCAAATTACAAATTTAATTCTCAAAACCAACATTCTAGCAAGTCTAGCAAATGCCAACAATAATAATATGAAAGCGGAAGCAAATAACAGTTTATAAAAACAAGCGAGTATAATTCTCTCGTTGAGAGCGTTTTCAATCTTCCTTGTTCGATCCTTTGCTGTGAATTTTTCAGAGGGTTAATATCAATTTCCTATTCGTATCAGTGTGTGTTAAGTGTGTAGAGCTTATCATCAATTTCTATGGAAGAACCACAGACGGAATTGGGCGAGACGACGATTTGGCAATCCAAATTCAAAATTGCTCTCTATCGGAAAGGGAATCAGAGCTAATCGATCTAGCCCAAGAAGACATTTAAGTCAGTGCAGAAATGTGTCATCGAAGCTTGTTTGGTAAAATAGTAGGCGACAGGAAAGCAAGTTGGATAGGCATTAAGCGGACGATGACTCAAATTTGGCGTCTACAACATAATATGGAAGTTAAAGAACTCGGACACAACTTCTTCCAATTTATTTTCTAGAATAAAGAGGATATGCAGAGAGTGGTCAGTGGTACAAATTGGACGTTCGAAAATCAATACCTGATTCTTCAAGAATGGCAATCGGGGCTGACAAACGTGCATCCAGGCTTCAATGAACTCCGGATTTGGGTGCAGGTTCTAAATGTTCCATTAATATGGCTTAGCACTGAGGTTGGTCTGAAAATTGGGAAAGTATTCAAAGAAGTCAAGAACGTCGTGGTTGTTAGCTCAGGGAACCATGGAGGTCGTATTCTTAAACTTCTGGTCTCTTTTAACCTACTAGAAGCTATTCCTAGATGTGCTAAGATCCGTCTGGGAGATCAGGTGGTTAATGCTTGCTTTCAGTATGAAAAACTCGTTAATTTATGCCATTATTGTGGAATGATCAGTCACCTGGACCGGAGTTGCACTGCCTGTATGCATGACATAAAGCACAAATCTTTGAATGAAGGGCAGTACGGGGAGTGGCTGAAGGCAACTGAAGGACATCACTGGGTTGAGGTTAGTAATTATGAATCCAGAAGCTGACCAACTCCAACCCAATCTCCCCAATCTAATCCAAAGGCCTCGATGAATTTGAACCTAGAAACCAGATTATCCCAGTTCAGGAACCTTTCCTCTTCATCAGCTCACCTAACACAGCTGCTTCTAATTCCTCTAGAGCTGCCTCTGGATCTCAGCACATCAAGCTCCATGAATCCAACAACAATCATATCTCTATCCCAACTCTTGTCCCTAAAGGAGCCCAAGAAGAGCAGGATATGGAACTAGAGATAGTGGAGGGTTCTGCAGCTTCACATATTCCTCCACAAGCTGAGCTCAAACATAAGGCTATCATTGCAGTTAAAAATGGAAGAGGACAGGGAACCCCGAGGGTAGACTCTAAAGAAGCATTGATATGATTTGTTCATCAGATGAATTGGTGGGGAAGAAAAGATTCAGAGGAGTAGAGGGACCTAAAGAAGAGCCAGATAACCAACAATCAGAAGAGGAAACTAACAAGAAATCCAAAGGTATGGAAAAACAGGTGGGGGTGGCCAGCCTAGATTGACACCCGAGTGACCAATGTTAGCTGCGGTGTGGAATTGTAGAGGGCTGGGTGGGCCCTCTACAATTTCCCAAATCAAAGAGTCTTGTAGGAGTCACCAGCCAATCTTTTTCTTTCTCTCTGAAACTAAAAAAACAAATCATTTTGTTAAGTCAATTAGTAGAAAGTTGGGCTATGAGGCCAGGCATTTAATTGTTGATCCTAAGGGTCAGAGTGGAGGTATGCTTCTCCTTTGGACTCAGCAGGCGGAGATCACTCAAAAAGTTTGCAAAGATTGTTACATTGCAGTGGAATATAATTTACAGGGGGGAGCAGTCAGTGGAAAGATTTGTGTATCTAAGCACTGACAGAGCGATTAGGGAGTCCCAATGGCAGGTCATTGAAACTGATAAAGACTCTTGGAGGTGAGAAATGGTTGATTATTGGTGACTGGAATGACATTTGC